CTGCTGAAATTGATTGAAAGGATAGCTGTGTTGCTAAAGCTACGGTGCCAGGGAGTCTGGATTCCACAACATGTAGGCAGAAAGGTTGCTGCTAAAGGGAAATTAAAGAAAATAGTGATTTTTAACCGTTTGATAAGTAAAGATGTCTGTAAATTCAGCTGTGTGCTATGATCTAAGGTAGTGTGCCTATACCCCTTTTTCTTTAAATGTTGAGTCATCCCTCGTGTGGCAAAGCCAACTCGAGGCAATTGCCATTTTTGTTTCATCTCAGAAGCACAACTGTGAGTCACTGTGTGTCTCTTATGGAGGTTTAATACTTATTCTTCCTTGTTTGCCTCAATCTGAAGTGAGCTGGTTAGACTGGAAAAAATACATGTTATGTCTTTCACATGTGCAGAGCAATAACATTTACCGTTAAATCTCTAAAATATGTGGGGCTGCCCTTCAGCCTTCCACTTCCCTGCACATTTCATAGTGCACAGTACTGTATGTTCCCAGACTTCCCTCCACCCACTCCCTTCAATCTGCTCCCTCTTCCATAATTAAAACTAGAAACTCTTCAACTGGTTACGGAGTTTTGCTTTTCCAGTTCAGCTTTGATATATTACCAACACTTAAAATGTTGCTGGAAATTTTGCAAACATGTTGAGGTTTCTCAGTGAAAATCTGCTTATTGGGGGGAAAAAGGGCATTTTTTTTCTGTCTCTGTGTATCTATGCAGCCCAGGCCCTTCTCACAACATATCTGTAGCTAGCATGAAGGTGCCCGGGAGCAGGATTTTCACTGAAGTTTCTCTCTAGACAGTTCTAAATCTTTCAGGCGACTGTTCTGAGAAAGAGGCAAGTCTTTGGCTTTTGTAAACAGTCAATGCACCATAAGATCTCTTAGACCTGTTATTTGGACTTGATGCTGTGGCTAATGCTGAGTCCTCAACTGTGTCTAGCACTGAATATACAGCGCTTGCCAAAGACTGGCTTCTGTAGTACAGTCCTGCTTTGAGAGGTAAATTTGGGATGTACCTGGCATCCTGCCACTGATTCCATCTTACGCAGCACAGTGCCAGCGGACCCCATGCATCCCACTTCCCATTTCACCCTTACCCAAGCACCTAGTGGAGATTTATTGCTATATTGGCTTGGTATGTGGTTTTCCATGGATACAACCTGTAGTGGCACCATAGTGCAAGATTTCAGCCTGCCTTACTATTGCGAGGCGCTCACAGCAATGAATTCGGCTGCATTTTTCTAGAAGAAAATGAGCAGATGTGCATAGCACAGCCTAGAAGCTCAGATGAGTTCCTCACCTCTTCTTCCTGGAGTTTCCTTTCCTGTTCTTTTTGGCAGAAGGTTCATAGGTAAATTAGCTCAGATATATTAAAGTGGTGTACATCACCCTCCTAGCTGCAAACCTTGTACATTTGATGGAGATTATTACCCCAGTAACAGGGACAACAGATGGGAACACACTTTCATGCCTCAGTTACTGCAGTTGTGGGGCCACCAGCTCCTGCTCCTGCTGGACATGGGTGTGCACCAAGCCACAGGGCTGTGAGCTGGGGCTGCCTTTACACCCCACGTGTCCATTCAGCCTCCTGTGCTCTGGGAGGTGATCTCCAGCAGGAAGATGAAGCAGACAGCTGGGAATGATAAAGTGCTAACCCGCTACGGTTATGTCCCTCAGAGCCTGAGCTGCCAGATGACTAACTGGGCATTACAGAAACTCTGTGGCCAGATGGGAAGCACCTGTTATAGGAATTTTGCTGGGCTGGTGTACAGCAGTCTCTGTCTTTTATTCTTCTCTCTCCCTCCCCCTGTCTTGTTAACTATCCTCTACTGGCTTTACTCTCACCTGAATCTGCTCTAAAATCACATTGTTTCCATATGAGCATGAAAATCAGAAGTACAAGTGAATAGGAGCAGTAACCAGGCAAGCTTTGCTTGTAAAAGCCCACATCTGTAAGTCCTGCAGTGGTAAGAAGACTTTCCAAATTGGTAAGCTTTGGGTGTTTCAAAATAACACTTTTTAGGAGCAGATAGGCCACATAATTGAATGGAATGACATAGCTGCACTTGTCTAGGGTCATGCAAGGACAGACTGGTGCTAGAGGAGCTGGAAATTAGCACAAGGAAGAAACATATTTAGTAATTACCCAACTACCTCACCTTCAAAGCTCTTAATAAAATTAAATCATTAGTTCTTAGAACATTCAAGGTGATGAAAGGAGAGGGAAAGAATGAGGAACTGTTTGGGATCTCAGACTTTATGTATTCACTGAACATTTTCTCTTTAATGTCTATTTAAATGAATTAACCTGAATGCTCAAGGTTATATTTGACACTGGAATCTACTTATAAGGTACTGAGGAAGGCGCATGAGCTGAATTAGCAGCCCTCCAGTTGTGCATCTAGATTTCC